CTGAATTTCAACACTTTGATTTCTTCAAGTTTTATCTTTTCTGAAAACAATTGATCAAAAATATAACCACCATCATAATCACTGATATGCATCCATTTGCTAGGGAACGAATGCATTCCTCCCAGAACGAGTGAAGCTGGGATGAAGAGTTCGGAGAGGTCGTTTTTGGGTGGTTGTATTCACCGAGCTTTTTCTCTCGTAGCTGCTGCTTCAGTGCGCTGGGGAGGAGATAGTACGATGGAGCAATGTCAGGGCTATACGACAGATGTGGTGTCGTGGTCCAGCCAGTTTCCCTCGAAACGTGGCGAGTTATCTTTGCAATGTGATTTCGGGCGGTCCTCCGGAGAAAGGAGATTTTGAGACGTTTCCAACCGTCCTCCCTTGGCCAACTTTGGAAGCTATTCCATGGTTACCTTCGCAAGACTTTGGTGTATTACGGGATGCCCAGCCAATCCAACGAACAGGTGGTCATATCGTCTGATGAAACAGTTCGGATTTTGTTGATATATTGCGTCAAGGCTGTAAGGTAGCCACCAGGCGTGCCTCGTGTTGTTATGCTGATTCATCTGCACTGGTGATCAACTAGGGAATATCCTGTCTATACGGTCGCAGGATGAAATTTCTGCACGTCGTCACGTGCGCTTCTCGGTCTTGGTCAGTTGATGCATGCTGTTTCTATCGAGAGTTCTTTCTGCTACACCCATTCCATTCAGGTGGCCATTCATGGAGCGTATGCTGCGTCCAGATGTTTGCTACACTTTCCTGCTAATAGCGTCCGGATGCATTTCCTATTCGTTGCGGAAGGGGTCCCCATCGAAAGTGGCTGGATGCGCTTGAGCCAATAGCTCAGTGCCCGATCAGTAGCAAAGACTGGGGCAAACGTAGCGCTGATCTTGCCTACCGCGCTCCTTGCAAGGTTCTTCTTAAAATTGTCATAAGGCATAATCGTTGGGTTTGGTCGTTGATCTATTTGATTCCTACTTAATTATCCCGTTGCGCATTTGAGCTTCTGAAACATCCTTGGCTGAAGGTCCTGATGTGTTCTTCAACATATCAACTTATTTCATTATGAAGCTAATTTTACCCGAAGAAATTTGAATTGGAACAAAATCGGCCAGAAATTATGGGTCAACCCAATATATTACGTGGACAGTGTTCGCGTCTGTCTCATGCGCCTGCATTTCATTACGGGACGGGGGTTAATTTTTGCCCTCGTTTGTTCTGAACTTTGTTAGTGCTAAAAGTGAGGGAAAAACTTTACAAATACTCATCGGTAATCACCATTCCTATCACGCATAGTTCCTAGTAGGAGAAAAGTCATATACCTAACAGAAAACTTACTTTTCCATCACTTTTGTGGAAAGTTTCCTGTCCTTCCCTTTCCCTCTATTTTCTTATTTCGTAATATGATTATGCGTTCACAAAAGAAATTTTAAAGAAATTGTTTTCATAGTTGCGGTGATATTTCTTATGATTGGCTGAGTAAAAATGCGCTAGCTACATCTGTCAATCTGCAAAATGCCTCAACTAGGTTTTCATTTCAGACTCGTCGAATTTGAATTCTTTTGTATCTGTGAAAGATTCACTGAGCACGATGCAGCGTATCCGCCAATGTTAGCAGTGCTAAAGGCGTAGCGCAGGAACTGCATATGTATATAAGAACAAATTAAGTTTTTGCGCTGGAATGCATGGCGCACCCTTAGAAGGGTTCCTCAACACTAAGCAGTTCGTCATTGATGAGCCTTGACTATTCTCTGTTCCACATGCAATTCGTGAACGGGTGAAGTAGGGCGAAGCCATTCAGGAAACTATGAGGGAAAGCGAAGACTACGTGAAGCTGAAAAGTCCACAAGGCCCATTTTAGAAACGATTTGAGGCGAATCCGGTTTTGCGCATGTGTTAGGCATGATTATCCATAAAAACTATCTATATCCTCTGAGGTGCTGATTTTTTCCTATAAGCCAGTGGTGACGTAGTCATGTTGAGCACTCTTTTTAATTCTATTTCTTTCTGGGGCAATTTCAATGCATAACTGAGTGATATACTTCACAGCTTGTTACTCTAGCTAAAGAACTTACTACCGCCCCCTCCCCACCTCGCCCACTCCCCCCCCCCCAAGAAATCGTTTGATTCTTCCGCTTCAAAGTCGCTCATTAGAAAGGAGAAACTTCAGGAAAATGCTAAGGGTAATCGAGCCGGCTCTGAGTCCAACCGTAAATAAAAGCTGTAAAAAAGGTTGCACGATGGAGGCAGCAGTATGAAGTCAAGGTAAACGCCGCCGCTGACGTAACTTCGACAAGGAACGTGTGAATTCGACGTATTAACTAGAATGGTCCTACTTTTACCAAAAAAAAACATGGCAAGCAGAAGCAGTTCTTTTTAGGAGATAAAAAAAAAGATTTTCAACTATACGAATGTAGACATTTCGTCATTTTTGTTTCAGAATTTGTGGATAAAAGCTCTCCCTGTCAGCTTAAATCCTGTACTGATTACTTACTTGCTCTCCAGTGTTGACGAGGTTTCTGGTCGATAGGAAGAGAGGCTGAGGATTCATATCTGGAGAAGTGTAAGTAGGAAGTGGAACGGGTTTTAGAGGAGTGACCGAGGGAGGAAGGTCCTCGCTCATCCCAAATTCTTCCCAACGTGAAGGCTTTGTGTTAAATACATACAGATATGGAGTTTAGTTTTTTTGGTCTCTAAGCGATTCCCCTTCATTCACGAGATCACCTTCTATCAACGTCCAAACGGGCAATTTTCCTTCTGTCCAATTGTACGCTCTTTCGCCTTCGAGACTTCGCTCTCTTGAACTCTCCAGAGTTTCTTGTGTCTTTCGACGTTTTCTATCACGGTGCCTCGGGGTCACTATTTTTGCCTCATGCTTTTTAGCCCAGTCCCTAATGCCCTCCTCGGAGTTTCGGCTAGTCATGTTTATAGCATTGCGATCCTGTTTATGGCATATGAACGCAGAACATGCACGTAGTTTTGAACGGAAGAAGAGTACTGTACGACGCATCGTGGAGGAGAAGATCGAATCCTGTCCTCTCTGTCAGACACACTGACCAAGGATTAATCACTCTGCGCGCTGATTGCATGTCTGCGGAGGCATCCTCTAGGACTAGAGTGTGGTTCGCCAGGACAGAAAGCGCATAATTCCGCTTTTCGTACGCACTGAAGGGAGTGTCGCTGGGGTTTTCCCGCGACAAGAATCCCAGGTATACTCCTTTGAGTGATGAACCTGGGTATCCGCAGCGAAAAAGGTTGAAAATTCGCTTTCTGTCTTAGCGAACCACACCCTTAAGAATAAGCTTAGGAGAGACAGGAACTTTGGGGAAAATGAAAATCGCTAACGCTCCTTGGAGTCTCTCCTCCCTTGCTCAAAGCTTAGAACCATTTTCAACAAAAAGGAATGTTTCGCGCGGTCTTAATGCATTGCCACCACAATGCCCCGTATCTTGCGATAGCGCCATTATCTGGAAAAACAATTGGAATCCAGAAAAAAAGGAAGGAAAGGAAGCACAAAGCAAGGCCCCATCAATCAAAGGCGGAATTTACGAAAAAAGCAATACTTCAGAAATGACCAATTGATGTACAGTTAGTGTTATCGTCTTCCTAGACGAAACTGACTGCAACTAGCCGACTGCAGAGGGATAATAGGCTTTTTCAGCACTGGTGAGCTCTGATGTAAGGATTGACCTCCTGCTCGCAAGCATAGCGAATGAAGCCAGTTTTTACTGCATCACATCTGCCCCAGGACTGTTACTTGATTTAACGCAAAATGGCTCACCCACGCCCGAAACCATAAGGATTGATAGATTGAAAGAACTCTAGCTGCGGTCGGTGACGTCTGCCCTTACAATGGAGGTCGTTCACGTGAACTACAGAACTGGGGTTCGATTTCGCTGAGCGACTCCCTGAAGGCCAAAAATTGATCGAGAATTCTGTTCACAGTGGGTAGTTTTGACAGCTTAGGAGACTGTATAGGACAACTAAGATTACTCGGACACTAAAATTTTCTTCTGAAGATGACATCGAAAACAACGTGAAACATGCTTGAAAACGAAGGGTTCTCAGTGAAGAAGGGCAGTTTCAAGACAATGTTCTATCCACTCAGACAGCCTCATACCAACTAACTGACCATTCAGAGATTAAAGGTTCGGGTGGCCCAGACGGTGTACGGTTCGGAGTTTAATCTCCAGACAATGCGCGTGGGAACAGCATCACCTGCCACAACATCAGTTCCACAAATATGTGAGGCAAAAGTAGATCCAGTTGGAAGAACGAAATTCCCACATCTGAGTGTGACATTGTCGGCACTAATGTAAGATTTCAGGACGAAGCAAAACTGAGACCTTATTCAGGCTGCGGGGACCTGGTACGGTGGCGGTTAACATTCCGTCACCGTACCCCAGGTGTCTTCTCGTCAGTCTCTAATGGGGACCTTCTAATAAAGATGTCTGTAGAACACCTAAGTCATGATAGCCGAGTCACAGTAACAGTGAACGTTAGAGCTCATAGCTTTTCTATGTAAGCAGCGTTTCTATTTCCGTTTTCCAACTTATTGTGATATTCTGATGAATACTGTGAAAACCAAAAACGGTCCCATTGACGATTTTTATGCGGGAGGACGCACTTATTGCCACGTGGGACATATCCTACGAGGCACATTTGTCAAGACGCGTGCACGAACGTGCACTTCTTGCAGTGCAAGCGCCGTGCTGATGGGTCCTCGGTAGTATAGTGGTGAGTAATCCGCGTCGTACAATGCGAGACCCGGGTTCAATTCCCGGCCGGGGAGAATTTTTTGCTTCGCCTGAAATCTTAGCGCCGACGATGTC